ATATTTACGAACACTCATTTTAAGGGTTTGTTTGAAGAGACTTGTCTACTATCTATCTAACAATTATCCAGTACAAATATCCGTACATATACTACATCTGAGAAATTCATAGGAAAAGGCAAGGTCAAAGGTGAAGCTGCATAGAGGGGGAAAAAATTCTTAAATCCTACACTTAAGAAACTCATAGTGCAGAACTCTGTCAAACAGCCCAGGTCCTTAGTTACACAGAAAGCTCAGTGGTGTATGTCTTTGTGTGTGTGTGCATTTGCATGTACGTGATTGGAAAACAGAGTGTGCTGGAAGGGAAGGCTAGTTAGTGGAAGAGATAACCGAGATCAAACGTATGATATAAAAATATTTGATTTTCTTATTTTAAGAAAAATTATTTTAAAAGTAATAAACATAGCTTGGTTAATGGTCATAGAACCCACTAGTGTCTTCTATATCCCCTCCCTTGCCTACCATCTGTGTGCTCTCAGGGTAGCAGGAAAAGTAGGCTTAACACAGAGAAGCCAAATTTTCTGATAGGCTGACTCTTTAGGCCTTTTAAAGACAGCCTGGTTGACATCATATCTGGAAGAAAAAATAGATGGACATTTTCTTGCCGTTATAGAAGGGTGTGCTGGAGTTAGGCCCAAACTGTGAGGAAGGCTCTCAAGAAAGGCATCCATGTCTGTGGGAGAAACCCTGGCCCATTAGGAATATCTCTAAAGAGCCAGTACTATGGCGCTCACATATGTAATCCCAGCACTTAGGATGCTGGGGCAGGAGGATCAGAGTTTAAGGTCAGTTTGGTTGGCAAAACAAGTTTTAGGCCATACTGGGCTACACAGTGAGAGTGTGTCTCAAAAGCTACATCAAAAGAAGGAAGGGGGTAAGAAATCAATTTACTGAGAAAGTAGATACAAAGTGGGTGTCCTAGCGTTCTCCTCCACAGAAGATCTAAACATCTCTAATGAGCCAGTAAGAGCTAGACTTGGGGGGGGGGGAATGGCTGAAAATAGCTTTTAAAAAATAACCGAGTTAGTGCAGGGTACTGACTGTGGATGTCTCTCTGTTTAATGAAAACCTGTGACCAGTCCAGAGCGGTCCTTAGCAAAAATTCCCACATAAAAGTGTGTTTTGATACAGCGTCCGGGGCCATAATCAACACGCACACGCTTTACCTAAACCAAAGTATCTCTCCATACTAGAATTTATGATCCAATGCTTTCAAAAAGGTGCCTCACTGTACAGATGCAATGTATATGGCACTAAAAACTATTGGACTTCCAACTATGTTGTTGCTTGACTCTATTGAAATAATACCTGGCTCCATAACTAGGTTGTTGGATAAATTTAAAGTGTCAGGGTTTGGGTCCAGACAATCTTACGTGCTTATTTAATAGAATGAAGCTACCTTCTTCCTGCCTCATGCATTAGAATACACAAAACAGGATATCTGTCCCCCGGTCTCATTTCTCTTTAATCTAGAACTTGGTAAGAACAAGTAGCCCTGATCATGCATACTATCAAGTAAGTATATGTCATTTGCTGACAACCATATCTCTGGGCATACTAACCTCCAAACATCATGCATGTAACCTGTTGGTTTTCATAGGCCACATTTTCATGACGAAGCATGAAACTGAAGGAACAAAGTAAGAAAGACATCTAAACCTCTACACCTAAATTCTTGACACAGTTCCTGCTTTCTAGTAATTAGAGAGGAAACCTATTAAAAGCAAAATATTCCATCTGGAGGCAATTTTCACTTATCGTCCTTCTGTAACTTCTGATTTTTGGAACCATTGCTTTACAAATCTTAATTAACATATTTGCTTTTAAAGCATCTCTCTGGAGCTAAGGAAGTAGCTCATTGGCAGACCACTTGCTTAGCAAGTGTAAGGTCTTGGGGTTGATCCTCCACAACACACACACACACACTTTCCTGAAACGAGTTGGTTTATTGCTATTTGTAAACAAAATAAGAATCTTCCTCCGTGGTAACAACCACAACAGAAAAGGTGATGAAATGCCAAGGGATGAAAGAAAAAACATGAACAGAATAGACTGACTAGCCATACTTCTGTTTGCAGCGATGGCTTCAGATTCCCAAGCACCCTTTGTGCTGAGTTAAATTTGTTGGCAACAGAAACAGGGATCTCCAAAGCAATACACAGTAAGGCAGGGCCTGGGATGGTGAGTGGGTTATGATGAATATGCATGACACACAAAAGGAAAATGTCCATTACTTGCAGATGTCCTCTACCTCATGCCTTTTCCCTTTTTGGGAAGCAAGATGTTTGTAGATCTGTTATTGTAAGTACTGCTACCTCTCCCCTTCCCAAGCTAGAATATTCCAGCATTTATTTTGATATCCATATGACCACAGTTTAGACTACAGTTAAAATAAAAAAAAAAAAAAAAATAGAAGCACTGTAAGCCAAACCTGAAAGATCCAAGTGTTGAGGTCAGTATTAATAAATCCTAACGGAAGTAATGAGATTCTGTTTCCTGGTAGAGTTTGGCAGGAGATGGGGGCAAAGATATTTGGGGTTTATTTCTTATTCATAAGTGTTTTGTAAAAACCATCATAGAACAGATTCTAAGCCAAGCACAGGAAGCCAACAAACTCTGGTTTGGACTTAATAATTCATTCTAAGGAGTTTTTCAACGCCTACAATTTTAGGCTCATGTGCATTCTCCACCCAAATCAGGGATGACAGAATGCCACGGGAAGCCTATGGAACAGAAAATTGGAAATGACCTTGACTTTAAAGGGCAAATTAATGTTACAGCCAATGCTGGAGAATGACACAGGGCTCACAGGGCTGCACAGTGATAGAATTTTCCAACTCAGTGGTGTTGTAGAGAGCTGTAGTAGAGGTGAGTCTGAGCACTGAAGGAAAGGACAGCACCCCATTGCTGCTATCCAAAGAACCCTGTGCTATGTACACAGTGCTAACTAACAGAGGCTCGGACCCTTCAGAAATCACCTTGGGTTTGGGGGATGCTTCAAATCTGGGAGCGTGGTCAGAGCAAGGAGCTAGAGAACCATGAACTCAATGCTTGTCTGGGCCACCTGGTGAGTCTCCATTTCCAACAAAAGGGGGGGAAGGTGGGAAGAAGGAAGGAAAGGAAAGGGGTGAGGGGAAATGGAAGGAGGAAGGAGGAGGGGTGAAGAGACAAAAGGAAGGGACATTTTGAAAACGGTCACTATTACAGCACCTGGGTCTTTTCTCGGAAATTGCCACAGAAAGAAATATTTTAAATGTAAGAACGACAGCGGTGTCTACTGTCATGGTAAATGGCTAACTGTGCTGCCTATCACCATACCAAAGAGTGTGACTGCCTCCAGGCCCAATCAGCACCCGTGGCTCTCCTCGTCCCACCCTCTATTCTAAAGGCCAGCTTCGCAAAGCCCTATACCCCTTCCATTTTGGCCATGGACTCTCTTGGTCTTTTGTCTTCCTCACGTTGCTTTCTCTTTTATCTTCCTCTTGTCCTCTCTCCATCTTCCCCCTCTCTTTCCTATCATGGCCTGGTTCAGTCTACTGGCCATTTGATTAAATTATTTTCTTTCTCTCCCTTCTTTGGGCTTTTCTATATGCTTCTGGAAGTACTCTCCCTCATATCCACAATAAAACCTTTCCCACAACCATACCCTGGAGAGGTCATGTCCACACTTTATACAATGCCTTTAATCCCAACACTCAGGAGAGAGAGGCAGGCAAATCTCTGAGTTAAGAGGCTAGCATGGTCTACAAGCAAGTTTCAGGACAGCCAGGACTACACAGAGAAACCCTGTCTCAAAAGACCTAAACAAACAAGGTGGGGGGGCTGCTAAGAAATGACTACACACAAATGCACACACACACACACACACACACACACACACACACACACGTACCACATACACATGCATACCCCCTATGAGCATGCACGAACACATAAAAGAATCTGCCAACAGCATCAAGGAAGGTGTGCCGGGATGATAGAAGAGTTTTCAGACCACTCCTGATTCATTTTTATTTAAGGTCATAAAGGCAACGAATCTAATAAAACAAGATAGGAGTCCAGGAGCTAACTGCCAATTTTCTTTAGCTACTTCCTGATCCTAGTCACCCCAGGCAGAAAAATCCACTCCAAGATATAGGGAAGTCACTTGGCTACCCAGGTAAGAAGGTAGTTTCTAACCTGGCTCCAGCACCTGGGTGTACTGACACCTGTAGGTTTCAGGTGGCAGCTTGCTATCCCGCATCTGATCTGCTCCTGCTTTCAGTGACACCTGCAAGTGGCCCCAGGCTGACCACAGGGCTGACTCCAGGACTGGATCATCTAGGAGGGCTGTTTACAGAAGACAGCATTTGTAACCACTCAATTACAGTAAAGACGGGAAAACACATTAACACTTGGGGGGGGGTAGCAAAAAAAAAAAGTTCACAACCTAAACAAAGGCAATAAAGCTAAAACAGAAGCAGTAAACCCAAAGGTTAGATAAGAATAGTACTTTCACAGGTAGAGCGGAAAGAGCTGTATGAATGACAGGCCATGCGCATCTAGCAGGAAGTCACTACGATGTTGCCTGTGCCCAAGGGAATGATTATTCATCTTCTGATAGCCTCCTGGAAAAATGCCCTGTTCTCCCCAGACTCAGAGCCCCAGGCTCTACGTTTTTTCTCTTTATAGAAAGGAACTGTCCTTTTTAAAATTTTTATTTATTTGTATTTTTATGAAGGCGTGCTCATCACGTATACCCACATGCCAGGAGGGCACCAGATCCTATTGTGAGCCACCATGTGGTTGCTGGGAATTGAACTCAGGACCTCTGGAAGAGCAGCCAGCGCTCTTAACCGCTGAGCCATCTCTACAGCCCTAGAAAGGAACTGTTCTTGGCCAAACTTTTTAGTCAGATAAAACAAATTAGGAGATCCCCACAGCTTTTAAAGAAATGGTTTCCTTGATAGAGAGACCAGGAAGAGATTTTAAAGCTGTTTGACTCTTCTGTGAAACCCAGTGTTCAGTCTGACAGCACATGTTAAAATAGACAGGATGCAGACAAGATGAGCACAGCCCCCTTGCAAAGGTGATGCACAAATTTGTGAGACATTCTATATTTTGCCTTGTTCTTATAAAAGTCTTCGGACCAAAAGAAAACTTTCAGGACTGGGATAGGCTGAAATCCAGCAGGGACCACAAAGCAGAGTTTCCCAAACTGCACTGTGCCACCAAGGGCAGGGGCATGAGCTCCCAATCACACGGACTCGCCTCTCATGGGTTGAACTGACTCCAGAGACTCAAAACTACTCAGAGCATTGAGAACAATAAGACCCTACAGAGTGTGCAGCCCCAAACGTGGTATCAGTGTCACTCATCCACTTCCTAGGGCTCAGGGACCACTATGGAAGAGGAGACAGAAAGATTTAAAGAATCAGAGGCCTTAGAGATCTACTGAGAAACTGCTCTCTAGACAGAGCGGTTAGGCTTGGGAAACTCACAGTGGCTATGGCTACAAATACAGACCTGTAAAAGATCAAACCGGTCCAAAGTTCCCACATGAATGGGGGAAGGGAGGAGCTATTGCTAGGTGAAGCCTCCTGGGGAGTGAGAATCAGTTCTCTTAAGGGATGTATTCCCTAACAAGTTGCCCTTAACAAGTCCACATTCCAGCAGATGGCCCTATCCGACATACATACTGGTAGCCCTTAGCAGACTCAGTGAGTTAAAATGAAACATGAAACAAAAGGCACAAAAAACTGGGGGGGGGGGGTGAGAAGTGGTGACGGATTATGGGAGATGTTGAGGAGGGAGTGGGTAGTTGACTTGGTCAAACATATACATATATGACCTTCTCGATAAATAAAAGTTAACAGACAAGGGGGTGGCGTGGATGCCATCCTCTTATGCCAAGTTGTAGTCTGTGCTCTTTATCTGAAGAGCACATTCATAAGCTTGAGAAATGAGGGGAATGATAAAACCATGGACGATAATATTTTTCCAACAACAGCAAACACTTCATAGCCGTGCATACTGACATGTTGGCCAAAGGCAACCCAACTCCCTGGGATTCTGATCTGCTGCCATCAGATCTTAGACCTGTCTAAGAAGACACCCCGACAAGCTGCTCACATGATCACATGGCCTATGTTATGAGGTTGTAGAGGATGAAGGGGTGAGAAAGAGGCTGCAGGGTGATAAAATTACGTGCCTTGTTAAAAAAAAAAAATATTTACGAATCACATGAAAGTGTTTTTAAAAAGTGGTGTAGTTCATTTTTTTTTTCCTCAAAGAAGGATGATGTATGGATATTGATTTGTAACTATTAAAAGTAGTGGTTAGAATTCACATTCGTAAACACCAATTCATTACAGATAAAACATTTAGTTTGTTAAACATATGACAGGCTAGCAGCAGTAAGTCTTTATGAGTCTCATCTATCTGTCTTATCATCCCAGAAACTCAAAGATTTTTTTCTCCAACTTTGTCCAAGACCAACAAACGTTACCAGCCAATAATACCAGGTTTTGTGTTCTTCCACAATGACCCAGCATCCAAGAGTGCCGCCTAAATATGATGACACAGAAGTCACCGACTCTCCAAAGAGCCCACTGTCACCAAGATCTTCAGTAAAAGACAGCTCCATTCCTGTACATACATGTCTTCTGTGAGGCAGCTTTTGGCTGCGTGTGTATAAAAATGTTCCTTGGCAGGCATGATGGCAAACACCTGCAAAAACCAGCCATGGGGAAAGCCGAGGCAGCGAAGTCACAACAAGTTAAAGGCCAGCTTGGGCTATGCTGTGAGAAGCTGTCAAAACAACAACACAAATCCCCAACCTTAAAAAGTATCATCTATTCTTTTAAATGAAAGCCCCCTACTCAGTGTCATCGTAATTATCCAAGGAATGCAGTTAGAGCGGAATTAACTGGTACAGAAAGGAATAGAACTGGTACAGGTCAGTGTGTAGCCTGGCTAGCAAGGTCACAGTGCATGTGTGAGACACCCAGTGGAGATGTGTCCACTCCCCGAGGGCCTCGGGACGACAGCCAAAGACCTGAAGGCTGTGGGGGGGGGGGGCGGGCGATCCCTCACCACTGTCCCCAGCTGTAACCGGAGACCACTAGCTCTGCCCAATGCCCTGAAACAAGTACATCCTCCGAGTCTCCTTCCTGCGGCTTAACCTTGTGTACTGTCGCCTGTACAAGAGCAACTTGCCTCTGCCCCTTCTGACTTTGAGGTCGAGGAATGTGGCTGAATGAGTGCAGCTGCCAGGACAACCTCTCTGGCATGCATGCCAGGCACTCCTCACTTACATGCCTTTATCCTGCCTGGATGGTCCTATCCCACCGGCAATGGCCAGTTTCTTCCAGTGGTCACATTGCAGGGCAGCCCCCATGGAAACCCATTTGGAACTGTTCAAGCTCAGCCCAAAAGAATGCTGTTTTTAATACAGATTGTTCCTTTAGATCCTGTTTAAAAGTAGCTGTAATCAATCGTTGGGGGGGGGGGGGGCTCTGTAAAAAGCTGCCGTTCCAAAAGACTTAATATTGATCCTTTCCTCTTTCACAGCTTTTAAGAAAACAATTCAATGCTAAGAAACCATTAACAATTCTTCTAGACTTCACTAACATGCAACACTATCTGAATTACACACACACACACACACACACACACACACACACACCATACTACATATGTCAAATTCATCTAATACTCTGCCTTTTGTCCAAGGCAGTTGAATAAGCTCAATAATTACTAAATACCAATTAAACTTTGGCTACTCTTGTAACAGTTGTTTAGCCGGCAAGAGTGGATTAGAGACAGAATGAAAATTCAACTCCATTTAAGAGCTGGCATTTCAAATTCTCAGTTTGCAAGATAATATACTATTTTCTCTGTGCCCGTTTTTAGAGAAAACTGTCAATTCTAGGCCTGTACTTATAGACAGTTATGATTCCAAGTGGTCACACCCTGACCACTTGGAATTATGGTAGACACGGTATCTTGTCAAGTTCACCTTTTCATACTAGGTCTCTTAGAAACTCAGACATTTCAAAAGGCAAAAAGACAGTATTTAAAATTTCTCCATAGAGACAATGCAATTTAACGTTTGCCTTTACAATCATACTGAAAACAATCACCAGTATCAACAGCAACCTTCCAGATTAGATACTAAGGAAAAACACAATTTAATACAATCTTGGTTATTGGCAATTTAGTTTCAAATGAAAAAAACTGAAGACTTCATCAAAATACCATATGTAAGATGAATAGAGGACTAGAATCTAAACGGAATGAAGCACGGTGTTGGCTATTCATCAGTGTTACACCCATCATGGGAATGAAATTAGATCTGACCACATCCAAAGAGCTGGCAAAGAGGGAAAGACTTAACTGCTATTTGCTTTGCTCCCAAATAACAGTCATTTCAATCTCAAGGGAGTGAGCTACGATTTCTGTGGCACATGTCCACTGTCCATTCAAGCTTCCCATTCCTGGCACGCCGTGGCCGTGGGAGTTTATGGAAGGGATGGGCATAGACTTCTCAGTTCTGACTTGAGAAGCTGAACTCCCTCTCCACACCTATGCCATCCCCTCAAATTAGAGGAAGCCTTTGCTTCTCACCCAACTAAATGGCAAGAGTTGAGAGTTCTGTAAGACTTCTTAACACTAGCTGAACAGGGGCCCTGACTGTAGTCAAGCCAAGCATCCTGGGGCTGTCACATGGGGCATTTCACAGCTTCACTGGCCTGGACAGCCTTTTTATCTGCCCCCCCCCCCAACAAGTCATTTTAAGCAACATTTTTCCCCCCAGCAAACAAATCTCTCTGCTTCATCTCTTCTATTGTAAATTGGCGGTTGCACAAAAGGGCTAATGCATTAGAGAAACCTGAATCAGCTTGGTCAACTAATTCCAATCCCATCCTCCAGCTGGAATGCTTTTATGTGGATCAGGGCTAGCCAGTAAAAGTTTCTGCAGTGAAGGAAATATCTGCATCTGTGTTGTTCAAAATGGTAGCCACCAGCCGTAGACTGTTGTGGAGAAGTGGGAAGGTAGCCAGTGCAATTGTGATACTGGTTTTTTAAGGTTTACTGTTAATCAATTTATGCTCTAGTAGCCACAAGTGGCTGGTGGCTGGTGTTACTGAACAATGCATTTCTGGGGAGATTTGAGATAATGCTTAAAAGCCTGGCCCTCAAAGGCCATCTATACCACCAGCCTAAGCTTCTGCTCTTGGATAAGCTGCTTAACTGTATATTTGCAGTAGTCAGTGCCTAACAACTTAATTGCTCTGTCTATCCCCATCTATCTAACTAGGTCATTTAATGACTATTGATTCAACAACTCTTATGTACAGAGCAGTCTATTATTTGTTTAAAAATACAACGGTAAGGGCTAGTGATACAGTTCAGTAGGCAAAGGAGCCTGCTGCCAAACTGAAGACTTGAGTTGGATCTCCAGGACCCATGTTGTAGAAAGGAGAACAGACACTCACAGTTTGTCTTCTGACCTCCACATATGCACTACCACATGTATGTGCGCTCTCTCTCTCTCTCTCTCTCTCACACACACACACACACACACACATTTTAAAATATACAGTAGCAAGTTATGTGAATGGTTAGACCAATGGGTACATCAGGATACTGGGATATTATTCAACAACAAACACAAATGGGCTATCAGCAAACATAGAGGAAGCAAGCCTTGTATCTTGCTTAATAAAAGAAGCTAATGTTGTATGAATACTATTTCAGGATATTTTTGGGAAAGACAGAACTATAGAGATGTTAAAAACATCAGTAATTACCAGGGAATTGGTATTAAAAAAAAAGAGGGAGATAAATATGTAGAGTGCATTGGACTTTAGGGCACTGAACTATCCTGCATTATCCTATAATGGCAGACACATGGCAATATGAAGTTATCAGAGCCCACAGAATACTGCCATGTGAAGAATCATCCTGAACATCAATTCTGCATTATAGTTAATAATAATGTCTCAGTACTGGTTCATTGGTTGTAAAAAAAATATTTCTCATAACGTAAGATGTATTAGTATATGAAATGGGGGAAGAGGGAATTTTAGCTTTGGTTGCCAACTTAACACAGTTCAGAT